TTTCTTGTATAACTCTATTTAGCTCGTTCTTAAGTTATCGTTTATGTTAATGATCATTCTTTCCCCAAGTTTATACTGCAGTTATTAAAAATATAATTTAAATAACATTTTGTTCTTTTATTATAATACAGTTTTCTAAAAACAAAAAAATAATGGAACCAGTATTATTTTTTTATAGTCCTGACACTTATGATAACTTTCCTAATTTGTATTATATGTGCTCTATGTTATGAAACATCGTAAACAATTTGGAAATTAAACGTTTAGTTTTTGTATTTTGTATGTAATAGTAATAAATTGTCTTTTTTTTGTTTAATTAACGCATTAAGTTAACTCTGAGTGTGATTTATTTTTTAGAAAAAATATTTGTCGACATGCGAAAAACCATTGACAGGCTTCAACATGTTAACGAGAAAGATGTAATTCCCGCCAAACTGATAAAATCTAAGAACATGAGCGCAGTGACGTCTTTTATTTTCGAAATGATCAGCAACGACAACGTCTACGGTCGATTTGACAAACCATTAGACGATGATCCACGTTACATAGCACAGATTTCAGAAACAGCTGAAGATAGGTTCAAGAAATTTTCATGGGAAAACTATCGAGAGACTAAAATTTCCACGATAAGGTTCCCAATAAAGGGGCGTGAGGAATTGAATGAGGTAACTATGGTATTATTTTTAGTAACGTCAAAGGTAGCCAAAATGTCTTGAGAATTCRTGTTATCTCACAAGTGTTTTTTAAAGGCGTATAACAGCGAAAAATGTCCAAATATTTTAATTTATATTCCAGTTTTTTAAGTTTACGTGTAATCCATTAAGAGRATTTGACATTTTCAACTCCCTCATGTCTTGTGCGTGTTATTCTGTTATTTTAGAAAGTCAACAACCTAATCCAGTTATTTTTGGAGCACGCGCACAAAAAAACCTCACATTTTGTTTCTACCAGCAAGGTGAACGAGTATGAAGAGCGCGTTAAAGCGGTCTTGCCGTCCAGTGGTCCAGCCAGAGGTCAGCTAACACTCTATTTAGTGTACAGGATCTGCCGAAAAATCTCGAAGCTGGTGTTCGGTATGTTCACAACGAAAGAAAAAGTAATACATAACTTCCAAATGACCGTTGATGCGTACGTGCTGCTAGTCGCGAACCGGACAAGTCGAGTGAATTACAACACTAAGGTCTATAAGCGACGCAAAAGTGTCAACGTCGATGACTTCAATACATTGTACCGGGAGACGTTGAAGTCAATTCGCAATGAATATTGTATGGTATAGTAATTAGTAATTTCTGATTACATAAAACCAAATAATCTGACGTCGGTGTCTTTACAATATTATTATATTGGCTACACGTAAATGTATAATAATTTATTTTGATAACACAATAATATATCGTGAACGTTATATCTATGTCACCACCAATATGGATAATTCAGGTATTTTGAAAAATCCCTAGGCATTATGTATACTGAAAACCCATTTTAGGCAATGTAAATAAAACAGATGATTTTCAATATTATTTTATATATAACTTAAGTATTTTATAAAATTCATAGGCGTTATGTAAAATGCCAATTTTTATTTAGGATAAGTAAAACCCAATTTATCATAATAATATGTTATACATTTTTAATAAATAATTTTTACAGCATATTTTCATATTTTTAGTGCATATTATAGCGCATATTTTACATTTTTTCGGCGCATATTTCATGATTTTTTAGTGCTATAAGTCTCGAGCCCTGGTTATAATATTATATTAAGATTCTTATAAGTTATAATTATTATATATTATTACTCATATCACAAAATTTAATTTTTAACTATTATTATAGTTTACTAGCTGTCCCGACACGGCGTTGCCCGCGTATTAGTTTGTTTTTTGGCATTTTCGAAGGCCGTGTATAGTGTTATTACTTATTATGTAAATAATTTTTTTTTTATTTGTAGTTGATTAGTGGTTTTGGAGATCATAGCGTATAGTAAACTATTGAGAATGTCAAATTAATATTCATATAATG